ATGATTAAGCAATAAGAAGTTTAAATGTTATGCAAAAGAAACAAAATATTTTTGAGCTTTTCTAGGAACAAAAATAACACTTGGAAGTCTAAGTGTACAAGTTGCACTATCAAGGGAGGTGAGCTACTAAGAGCCACTTAATAACCAAGCCTTTTCAAGTGGAAATCACTAAACTCCCTTGTGGTATTTTCAATTCCACAAAAAAATTTCACAAAATTTTTTATGTTGTATGCTTTTCACAATTGTTTTTAAAGCTATCTAAACGTGGACAAGTAATTCTACACAATGCTAGACGAATTAGGACAGTAAAACAAAACAATTAAAGATCAAACAACTCAAAGGAAGTAAGATTAAGCAACTAGTCATTTTTCCCTAAGTGGAAGCTTGAAACATATGAAATTTCCAAGCCACTTCCACTAGTACTACACGTGAGTGAGCTACCAAGGGTTAGATATACCTGACCAACTTCTTAATACTCCCTCCAAGCTTTACAAATTGATTTAAAATACAAGAAAAATTGCAAAATTTAAAACTACACAAGAAACAATTTGTGGCGGCTTTAGTGACCAATTAGTGACGGATTTGCTGTCCAATTTTTCTAACACTTGTTTAAGTGTTCCAAAAATTAAAGAATAAGTATTTAAGACAAGACTCAAAGATAGCCAAAAATGAAAGTTGAAAAAAATAAGACTCCAAAGAAGGCTAGCACTCAATTAGGAAGGTTCCTAGATAGGCACTAGAGTAGATTAACAAAACTAAAAAAATTTGGAAGAAATTGAACAAGTACAAACAAACTTGTAGTCCAAAAATTTTGTGGAATTCAAGTGAATTGTCTTACTTGTTCTTCTCGGCTTTTGCTTACCAAATATGCTTTATATTTTTTTTTATTCTTTTCTTTTTCTGAATTCAAATGTATATTCCAGAGAAGATACTTGCCTTTTGATTTCAAATTTTTCACAATTCCAAAGTATAGAAACCGAGACTACTAGATTGAAAAATTTCAAGTGAAATTGATGAACTAGTGCACTAGTTTTAGGCTTTTGATTGGATTCTTTTGTTCTTTTTTTTTTAAAACTATTTTGAATGATAATACTCTGTATTTTCTCTATTTTCCAGCCACTAAACTTTCAAAATTTTTATCCAAAACAATTAGTGCACTAGAAGTAAGATGAATCACTTAAAATTTTCAGGTAATACAAAGTTGTTTCAAGAATTTTTTTATGGAAAGTGATTTGAAAACTTAAGTACACAATGGAAACCTAACACTAAGAAATTTGCTAGAACTAATAGCAAATTATGAACTCAAATAAGTAAAACAAAAGCACATATAGGTAGGCACAAAGATTATAAGCAAACCGTGACCAATAGTAGACAAACACAACACAAAAAGAAAACTAGGTTAAACAAGCTATTCTAGGAATTATCAACATATAAGAACTACACATAACTTGCTAAGACAAAACAAGGATTCAAAAACAAAACTAATGCAATGTAATGAAGTCCAATCACGGACACATGCTAAAGAATGGAGAATACTCAATCAAAAACAAAACGCACAAGCAAATAGGTCCTAAATGTGTTGATTGTGGAAAGAAATTCAAAATATAATCAACCAATGGATCTATGGATACAAATGTTTTCAAAAACTTATAGATCCGAAAGAAACTCAAACAATGACAACAAGAACACCAAAAACACAATAACAAACGGAACAAAAACTCAAGAAACACTTATCTCCAAGAAGAACCTTGCTCTTGATACCAAAATTGATGGCAAAACTAGGAGAAGTGATAGGTGTTCTCCTCCTTGGATTCGCCAATGCTTGGACCTCTTCAATGGAGATTGAAACCAAATGGATGAACACTTGAATGGAGGATGTTCACGGATTGAATTAGCCTAAACTAAGGATGGAAGTATCCTAGCTTGAAGGCTCAAAGGATTGCCCACTTCAAAAGGTAGGAACTAAGGTAAGGTTCCTAGGGTTTTGAAGGCAATGCTCACAGTGACTCTTGAGGAAACTTGGGCTGAAGAATGCTCTCAAATTTCATATATCAAAAGTGAGTACAAAGTGTGAGGAGGGAACATTATATGCTTCTAGAATTAGGGGGACACTTGGCGCCAATGTGGAGGCTTCACATGTGGCGCCAAGATTTGAATTCAAATTTTGAATTTGAATTCAAACCTTAACACACATGTGCATGACCGGTTCCATTAGTGCTAAGTGTATTTAGGTTTGATTTAGTGTGCATCTAGGGTTGAATTTGAGTCACACATGTTCAGCCCAGATACAAAATCCCTTCCCTTTTAATTAATCAAAATAAAACATTTAAATAAAATACCACATATTATATTCTAAAATACATTAAATAATTAAATAAATATTAAATAACTCTTATTAATAAAAATAAAATACCAAAATTATTAATGAAATACTTACATTACATTTTATATAAAAAAATGTTACAATTGACCTCACTAGTAATATATAAAGAGGATATCTTTATTTGATTTCCACATTTTCAGACATTTGTATATTTTGATTATGTATTAATTTTTTTCCATCATCATATCTTTTAAGATAAAATAGAAAGAAAAAAATGCATACAAAAAATTAATTGTTGTCCACTTTAACAATAATAATTATCATCTTATTTTTGTAACCAATTTTTTTTAGATTTTACTTTTTTTAATTATACAATATGTCACTTAATCTACATGTTGTAACTTCTGTTATTTTTATTTGAATTTAATATTATTTTTAAACAAAATACGTAGATGTAATAAGTGTCTCGATCCCATTAGTTTTAATAAAATAAAAATATGTACAAGATTGTACCCAATTAGAATACCCCTATTTTTTTTGTACCAACCCCTATATATTAAACACAAATGACTATTTTGTGTTTTTTAAATAAAAATGATTTTATGAGTTTTTTTTACGAGAGGGTTTTTAAAAATTCATTTAACTTCTTACAAAATTCACATTTAATATAAATATTGAACAGTGTAATACTTAGTAAAAGTTACACCAGTGTCATTTGAACCCTCGTATATATAGGGAAGATTCAAACGACACTGATATAACTTTTACTAAGTATTACAACGCTTAATAACTTTATATTAAATGTAACTTTTATAAATCCAACCGTTATATTGAAAGTTTTTTATTCTTAGATCATATATACAAAATTTTATATTAATCCAAGATGATTTGATACTTCATTCTTATAAAATAAAATTGACGTAATATATATATATATATATATATATATATATATATTATATAATAAAATATGAACATTTTGATTACCTTCAAGTTGTTATTCAATTTTAATAAAATTTGATATAAACATATAAAGTGATATGAAGTTTATAATTCAACGGTTAGATTTACAAAATTCACATTTAATATAAAGTTATTGAATAGTATAATACTTAGTAAAAATTACATCGGTGTCGTTTGAACCCTAGTATATATATTATTATTTATTAGATTTAAGATATTGTTAAACACATAAAATATATATTAAATTTAAGATAAATAATTTATATTGTAACATAAAATTAATTTTATTTATTGATAATTAATAAACAAATACAAAATTGAATTAGATAAAAAAATTTACTAAAATTCATCATCAAATCTCTAAAAATACTCTCATACAAAATAATGGTATACGTTTAATATATCTGAGTTGTTGATATAAAATTCAAAAAAAATAATTAAAAATACTTTTAAAAAAATATAATAATATAAAAATTATTAATTATAAATTCAATACCTATATAATACGCAGTTTATAATACTATTTTTGCATTTTTGAAATATGATAATTTTTATTTGTGATTTTCATGTCTAAATAAAATATAGAATACAAAATCAATTCATACCCCCATTAAGAAGGAAAATAACAAGCTATTAAGAAAATAACTTAATTACCTTTTATAATTTTTTTAATGAATTTTACATTTTAATTTTTATAATTAAAAATATTTTATTTTATTTAGAGATATAAGTTTTTAAATTTTATAATCTCATAATTTTTTAATCTTTATAACAATAGGTGACCGAAACTAAAATGAGATTAAATTAAAATATTTTTTTTGAAAATAAAATGTTTAAATATAATTTTAGTTCCTCAAATTTAATATAAATTTATTTTTGATCCCTTAAATTTAAAATTATTGTTTTAGTCCCTCAAGTTATCAATAACATATTTGAAAGTGACTAATTAAGACAATTATGCAATATCAACCATGTTTAATGTGATGTTTTCGCTAACAGGGACACAAATAAGTAGATTTTATGCCATAATATTTAATGAATTTCCTAACAAAATTTGAATATAAAAATTAAAATAAGATTTTTTAAAATTACAATAACTAAAATTAATAATTTTAAATTTAAGAAAAAAAAAATTTATCAAAAGACAAAAAGATATTTAAGCCAAAATAAATTTCATGAAAGAGAGAAAATCTCGAGGAAGATTATAGTATGTGCTATATTTATGCTCTAAAAAAAATGTGCTATATTTATTTATCTAAAATAAAAATAAAAATAATATATTTCTAATAATTTTAAAAGAAGATTCCCCTCACTCTATAGCCCTGAAAACTGCGCAGTGCGCACGTAAAAGAAACCATCCTGGTGTATGTGAAGAAGCTCCAATCACATCACATCACAATCAACGCTGCGAAACAACACAACGCAAAACTCATCAACTTGCCCTACAAATCCCATTTCACGAAATTCCCTCACACATATCACATCTCTCTCACTTCCTTTCTCCCTTTTCGTAATTTAGGGTTTTGCAGATTCCAATGGCGGAAGTTATCAGCGTGCCTCCAGACTCCCTCGAAAAATCCCCTTCCTCATCCGCTCCCCCACCACCGCCGCCGCCTCCTCCCTCCAGCGCCGAAGACGACCTCCCGCCGCCTCCGCCGCCGCCGCAGCAGCATTACCCTCCCCGGCGAAGGGACAGGAGAGATGATAGGGATTTCGATCGCCCTCCCAACCGCCGCGGCGATTACTACGACCGGAACGCGTCGCCACCGCCGCCGAGAGACCGAGACAGGGACAGGGATAGGGACTTCAAGCGCCGCCGCAGCCCGAGCCCTCCCCACCGTGACCGGCGGTATTCTCCGGCGCGGCGCTCTCCCCCGCCGTATAAGCGGTCGCGCCGGGGGAGCCCTCGTGGCGGGTACGGACCTGATGATAGGTAGAATTTTGTGTTCATTCTGTGATTGTGAGAATTGAATGTCATGTGATTGATTAGCTTTAGCTACTTGCTGTGCATTTAGAATTTAGATGGGAGACTCTTGAATATGGAGTCAGTTGCTGTGTTAAACAATGCATAACTGCTATTTGGTTGAGTGACATTTTCTTTATAATGCTGCAATTTAGTTTTTAACTGGTGAGAAGGACAGGTATATGATTGATGTGACACGTGAGCAAGGTTTTAAATTGTGGTTGGGGTAACTGTCAAGATCTCTTTTGCAAGTTGCAATCTTTGATATAGTGGAAAATTGCGAACAAATGCACCTAATGCGGCTGTGTTCTGTAGTCATGGACTGTTTTTTAAAATCTTGGATGTGAGGAAAGGAAATTTTAAGAGACAAATGTTTCTGACTTCTGGGGGACAGAAATTTGTGATTTTGTGCATTTTACAAAAAACTGTTTCATGCCTTTTAATATTTTTCTTTTGATTTATTTGATGTTGCAATTCTTGTTGCTAACCGGCTGTAGGGACACCATTTTGAAGAGAAAAGTTCATGTTAATCTGATTAATTTTCTTATTGAAGTCTTGTTGGAATCATGAATTTGTTGGAATTTGGGTGTTACTTCTTTGAATGATGCAATAAAAGTTGTAGTTATTGAGATATAAATGTTTGTACTTTGTATATCTTCTAGAGTTCTGATGTGGGCTACATGTAGTAGTAGTATGATACTAGTGTGAGGCCTGAGGGTATATTATCTGTTATAATTTCCTACATGCAATTGTTGAATGATATAAATTACTCTATTGTAACATGACTAGTTGAGGATGAATTGTTATATATGAAGTGATTTATGTTGTCTATGGTCTCATAGCATTTCAATTCTTTCTACGTGAAACACAAGACATGGAGGGATATTGTTCTTTACTTCTTTGTGTTATAATGGAAAAATCTTTGTGATAGCATGTTTAACATGTTTTTGCTTTTCTTTGCTACTTGAGCTTTTTCCTTTACTTCTATTTCTCTTTATTACCATTAATTATACTTCATGCTTTATTCAAATCTTCTTTTAATTTTTATATTCATGTCACCTTATCATCTTATTGCAGCAGACATGGATATGATTATTATGGTGGTTATGAGCGGGGAACAGGTGGAAGAGGTGGTTATGCAGATGAGAAGTCCTATGGCAGGTTTGGGCCTCGTTCTGCAGGGGGGTACCAAAATGGGATTTCTGGTATGTCAATAGTTGCTAATAAGTACTAGGGTTTTTCCTATAGCCCATAAATCCCAATTTATCTCTGGCATTAGTTGTTATTATTTTATACTCATTACCTTGTACTTTTGAATAAGAAAAAAATATTTGCATAATTATTTATGATTTTCTTATTCTTACATTTTAGGATTTCTTTATTGCATGTTGTTACCTATTGGAATTTTTTGGTTGAAATGGTTTCTCTCTTTGCTCCCTACCCCCATCCCCAGAAACACGCACATACACACCCTGTATTTTTATAATATAGTAAATTACATGTACTATAGTAAAAATAAGAATTTTCTCAGCATAGCATTCTTTTTGTTTTCTCAAGTGTCTTGTATTTTTTTTTTAACAAATATTGACCTTTTAATCTTCAAAAAAAGAAAAGGAAAAGAGAGACAGCTTATATTTTCTGTCTGTCTGCCCCCACTATTTTTTGGTATTTATCTTACATTTAACACTTCTAATTTTTTTTTTCAATTATTTTATTAAAATCTTAATTTTTGTTTATTAATGTTGATGTGGAACTATGGTTGTCCACTTAACTGAAAAACAGAACATCCAAACTTTTATTTAGCATCTACATTATGAGTCAACATTTTGTTTTTCAGATAAAGACAACATACCATTTATAAGCTTCTATATTTTTGACCTTGGTACTTACCTTTTGGATTTTGCAGATGTAGAATCTAATCGTGGTTATGGAGACATGTCAAGTGGTGGTTCACAAAGGTCAGCTTTATAATTTTTCTGTTATCCATATCTAATTAATAAATATTAGCTGTAATTTGTAGCTGATCTTGTACAACATAGAAAAGGAATTTGATTTGTTTGAAGGTACTTGAGTGTGAAAATATCATAGACATGCCAATATACTCCCATAAATGGTGACCCTTGAGAAATGAAACTTGGGGTTTTTGAAAACTATGCTGTTAAAGAGTTTTCAAATGCTTCTGGGAATATGTTAAACTTCACATTTGAAAGGGTGCCACAATTGAAACAATTTAACAGGCCAAGATGAGATATCCCTATTGAGATTATGGATGCTCTAAAATAGATTTGGTGTTGCTTGTCTTATATGTAAATGGTAAAAAATAGAATAAAAACAAGGTGTCATTTTTCTAATGGTTAGGAAAAACATCAACTGAAAATGAAAACATAAAACAAGCCAATCAGTTCCTTATATATATATTGGGTTACAACACCTCAACTGTGGAATTCTCCATCTCTTGTATGTCTAGATTTGTCATAGTTGACATTCTTAAAATTTTCATTATTATGAATGAAGGAAAAGATATATGACCGGAATAGTTCTGACTGCATTTCTTCATCGATATATTAGCCTATGACTTGAAACAATACATATTTCTACATCAGATTTTATAAAGCCACTTAAAACCACCTTTTCTTCACAGTTTTCCTGTCTTGATCAGTTGATATCCAATTTAAGTACCAACAAATTTTCTGGAGTCTGGACCTACTGCACATAAATTTGAAAACTAGATTATTTACAGTTTTCCACCTTTCACCTGTAATTTGGATTCACCTTACCATGAAATGTTTGTGGGAGATCCCCAAGTCAAGCCAAAGATTTGTACTACATTATGCTATTGCCTTTGCACGCTCTTTAGCACATTCAAAAATAATATTGTTACCCTTAATAAAAGAGTTTTTCTGCATGCTATTCTTTTTTGTTTTGATTAGAAGTGAAATAGAGAGAAAAGAAATAAGGAAAGGAATAGAAAAGATAGGAATAGAATAGAAATTGAGTGGAAAAAAATGTGTTGTTTGGATGAATGGAAATAAGAAAAGAAGTGGATAAATTTGTCACTGCTTGTTTTAATAAGTTTAAAAGATAGTGCAAAGAAAAACAAATTATATAAAAAAACATTTGTATACTAATTAAAAAAATATATTTCATTATTTTTAACATAAAAATATCTATATTTTCAAATATTATTATATTTTTATTTATTTATTTATTTTTCATTTTGTTATTATTTATTTAAATTTCACAAATAATGCAGTGTGAAACTCCCACGTTAATTTAAGTTTCTTGTCCTCATCAACTAATGGTGTATGAACTGTTGCTTCAGGTGTAGAAACTGACAATTCTTGTCCATATTCCTTAAATTGCGACCTTTTCATGTCTTGCATTTTTTTCCTTTCTATCTATATTGGACAGTTGTTTCCTGTGTTCATTCCTGCATATCTACCCATGTGACATTTCTGTACCTAAGTGTCTTCACCTTTGAGCTTTCATGGTAAATAGGGAAAGTAACACATGATTATGTTATTGCTTGTTTAATGATTATATCTCGTCTTTATTTTACTCTGAAAATAGACCCTTTTGGGACAAAATGTTAACATTAAGAAATTTCTGAGTCATTCCAGAGAGGGGTTGATGTCCTATAAACAGTTCATTCAGGAGCTTGAGGATGATATACTACCAGCTGAAGCAGAGCGTAGGTAAGTTATGGAAAATAATATCTTTTTTGTATCATGTCTAAGCATTCAACTAACATAAGATTTTTGTGGGTTCTCATTGACAAATGACTTCTGACCAATTGATTTTCTAGGTATCAAGAATACAAATCAGAGTACATCTCTACTCAAAAACGAGCTTATTTTAATGCTCATAAGGACGAGGAGTGGTATATTTTTTCTTCCTCCTTAAAATTGTAGTTCAATATTTGAAATGTTTGCTCTGCAAAGCACAAGTTACCATATTTTTCAAGTTCAAGCGATCTAATGTTCTTTGCACTATCTGTTTTACTTTTTGTTGTAGGTTGAAAGATAAATATCATCCAACAAATTTGCTTACAGTCATTGAAAGGTGAGCTTTTATCAATCTTTCAGTTTTCTTAAGCATATTGTCCTCTTAATATTGGTGGCTCATTTTTTTTAATTTGTGGGAAGGTTACTAGATAGGCAAGTGGATTAAATTTTTCATCAAGACATCTAATTTGTAAATAATATTGTCTGGTTCATCATCTTTTAGGAGGAATGAAAATGCTCGACAGCTAGCAAAGGATTTTTTGCTTGATTTACAGAGTGGAACATTAGAACTGTACGTCCTTGTCTTTCTGTCTGCCCTTCCTCATGCTTTCACTATTCTTTACATCAATCAATTATACATATTTTGTATCACATTCAATGCAGAAATCCTGGTTTAAATGCCTCTATATCCAGTAAATCAGAGCAAGCTAGTGAGCCAAATTCCGAGGAGGATGCGGACACCGGAGGTAAACGAAGAAGGCATGGTAGGGGATCCAATAAAGAAAATGATTTCTCAGCTGCTCCAAAGGCTCACCCTGTCAGTTCTGAACCAAGACGGATACAAGCAGATGTTCAACAGGCCCAGGCCCTTGTTTGCAAGCTTGACTCAGAAAAGGGTATTGAAGATAATACTTTATGCAACAGTGATCCCAACAAAAATGATGATAAGGCTCACAGTGGATCTGTGGGTCCCATAGTAATTATAAGAGGCCTAACATCTGTTAAGGGTTTAGAAGGTATTGAGCTTCTGGATACACTCATTACATATCTTTGGCGGATTCATGGTGTAGATTATTATGGCATGATTGAGACTAATGAAGCAAAGGGCCTTAGGCACGTGAGACCAGAGGGGACAAGGCATGAAGAAACAGGTAAATCAGGGTCTGATTGGGAAAAGAAACTTGACTTATTCTGGCAAGGAAGGCTGAATGGTCAGGATCCCTTGGAAGTAATGACTGCTAAGGAGAAGATAGATGCTGCAGCAGTAGAAGTATTGGATCCATATGTTAGAAAAATTAGGGATGAAAGGTTTGGATGGAAGTATGGTTGTGGAGCTAAGGGCTGCACAAAGCTTTTTCATGCTGCTGAATTTGTGCACAAACATCTGAAGCTCAAACACCCAGAGCTTGTTATGGAACAGACTTCCAAAGTACGAGAGGATCTCTATTTTCAAAATTACATGAAGTAAGTAATAATGATGGCTTACTTTGTTTTGGGTTTACTATTGCAAGTTTTTGTGAAATATCACTTATAGTGGCCTTTTGTTGCAGTGATACAGATTCTCCTGGTGGGACGCCCATCATGCAGCAACCTCAGGTGAGCTGCTGATTTTGTTTACTGCATTAGTATATACCTAGAAAAAAGACATGTTAAAATGAAGCATGATTCAAAAGATTCAAAAAACTTTCTTTATGGTTGTGTTGTGAGAACCTTTTGGCATCTAGGTTTTGCTAGTAGTTTATTCCTAGTGTGGTATGTATGGCAAACATTGTGGTGAAGTTTTCAAAATTTCCTACCAATAATGTATTCTGAATGCCTATTAGTGTCAATAATCTAATAAATTAACCTTTGGGATTTATGGCTAAGGTTTGAGTCATATTCTCATGTTTCATCTTTTTCCAATTTTTAGAGGGACAGGCCTTTAAAACGAAGATTAGGTCTTGAGGGCCGATTGAGAGATGATCGTGGTAATCGGCGAGACCATGATCGGAATGACAGATTAAATGGAGATAGGCCTGATAATTCCCCATCTCATGAAAGGAAGGCACTTGAGATGGGAAACCATGATGAAACAATGTATGATTCATATGCTGGACCAGGTGTACCTCCATTTGCCTCAGATATACCTCCTCCACCAGTGTTGATGCCTGTCCCTGGTGCTGGGTAGGTTTCCCCTTCCTATTATCCTTCCACTTCACAATCTGACACACTTTGCTTAAGCGTGTTTGGATATATAGTCCAGAAGGATTTCGGATAACTTCTCGATTGAAATTAAAGATTATTTTCCAATAGAGAAGTCTTTTAAAACCCTTCTAGACTTGTATCTAAACAATTCTCTTAATATAAGACTTGGTTAGTGATTAACTGACAAATATAATTTATAACTCTACAGGCCTTTGGGACCTTTTGTTCCTGCTCCCCCAGAAGTTGCGATGCAGATGCTAAGAGATCAAGGAGGACCATCATCATATGATGCCTCAGGAAGAAAGATGCGATCTGGCCCTCATATGGGTGGAGCTGCACCAATAATTGCTGTTCCTCCAAATTTTAGACCAGATCCTCGGAGGATGCGAAGGTAAATGATATGCATGAACCCTTGTTTAGACAGTCGAATATTATTTCTGTGATCTTTCATCTCATCTGGTAGTTCTCTCAAATAGCATTATTTTTTTGTCAGTACTTAGGCAATTTTTATGTCCCTGTTACTTTTCGGTGCTGAGCTTATTGGTCCGTAATCTGATATTTTGACAGTGCCTTAATTTATTGTTTGTGAAAGGGAAATTCGTTTGATAAAAACTTCTTTTTCCTATCCTCCTCAGTTATGGCCAAAGCTTTTGGAAAAGCACTTTGTAAGTTAGCCCAGTTTAGAAGCGTTTCCTAGATTCCTAGTAAACAGAAAGCATGCACATGCCACAGATGAATGAAAACATCAAATTTTTATTTGCACTTGATAGTTATGATCAAGTTAATTTTGACCTTTTATGATTTCTTGTTTTTCAATGGAGCAGTTACCAAGATCTGGATGCCCCAGAGGACGAGGTCACTGTGATAGACTATCGGAGTTTATAGGGTGTCATTTTGGTGGCCGATTATGCCATGAATAATTTGCTGGCTTCAGCCTCTATCTTTTCGTGTCATGGGGGATAGACTTTTAAATTGTACTGCAGTTTAGATTTAGTGTTAAATATTTGTTGAACTGAACTTTCTTTTAATATTATACTTAGGTCAGTGATCCGTAATTTTGTACGGAAGTCTTCCCATCACTGAATTGAAAGTGATAACATATAGCACTTTAAAAAAAAAAAAAAGAGAATTTAGAAGAACCATGCATTTCGGTAATTATTTGTATCCTCGTGACGTGACGCCTCTTGTCACATTTCTTTCGTCATATTTATTTCTATTTCCTTCCCTCTTATCTCATTCCTTCCTCGATACTTGGAGTATATATTTCAAGGGCTGTATATATTTCGTAATTTTTATCATCAGGTTTATCTCACCCATACAGTTAATCGTGCATCTTCACGTTATTGTTTTCTCTTTCACCCTTTCTCTTCCTCCACCTCCTATCTATCATCGTGAGACTTAGAAAATTCACGCACCAGTGCAATATTTCAAGACACTCAGCTACCGATACTTATTGTCACAACTTAGTTTGCGCTCCAAACGTCAGATAAAAAAATGTCGTATCTGACCCACTCCACGACGATTGGCCAATGGAGTTCTTGCTCATGGAGTCTTAGAGCATTTCTAACAGGAGCAACTTTTTAGAGTTGCTTAGTGCATGAATATATGTGTCTGGTGATCCTTATTGTGTTACATCAGCATTAAATAACTTTACTCTATTTTTACTTCAACATTGAGTTTTTTCAAGCAATTTTAAGGAATTAAATATTTTATAATTTTTTAATGTTGAATTTTAATAAAATTAAGGTACATTTAAATTAAACTTTTTTAATTATTACATATGAAGTAAAATTTTATTTAATTTTAAAAAATAATGTTTTAAATATGTAATAAATTTTTAATTTAAAAACAATGACATTTACATAATATATAAAAAAAAGTAACAATTGAAATACATACTAAATTTAAAATAAAACAACAATGAAATTTTTAATATTTTACATTAAATTAATTTTTGTTATTTTCTATTCCAAAACATTGTCAAATATGTTCCACCAAATCTGTTTGAAGTTGTTTATGTTTGTCTCTGTTTTGAATCGCTACCTCTTAAAGTATGTATATCTGAAACTGGGATAGACACCTGAAGATACATCCAATGTCGACATTTCATTTCTAACAATATCATTAATCAATATGATTTTGTTAAGTGTGTCGTTCATCCTCAACGATCATATTATGTAATATGATACATGCATAAATTATATTCTTCATGGTATGAGCATCCCAAAAACGTGATGGACCATGTATAATTGCAAATTGCGATTGAAGCACCCCAAATGCACGTTCTACATCCTTTCTGGTTGACTCTTGTCATTTTGCAAATAATTTTCGCTTCTCCCCTTGTGGCATTGAAATGGTCTTCACAAATGTGGCAAATTCTGGATAAATGCCATCCGCTAGATAGTATCCCATATCATATTGGGTTCTGTTGACAGTGAAATTCACCGTAGGAGCATGATCCCACATAACTTCGTTAAACACATTAGATGCATTTAACACAGTAATGTCATTGTTTGACCCTACAGTACCAAAAAAGGCATGCCAAATCCACAAATCTTGTGATGCAACTGCTTCAAGAATGATTGTCGGGGTTTGCATGATCACCTCGACAAAATTGACCTTTCCACGCAACAGGACAATTTTACCATTCCTAGTGCATACATTCAATTGAGCCTAATATACCTGGAAAGCCACGCACTGCTCCCATTTGTAGAAGTCGTTGTATGTCTTGGTTATTGGGCTTCCTTAGGTACTCATCCCTGAATATTGCACAAATACTTGATACAAATCGTTGTAAGCATTCCATTTCCTTCTCCAATGATCACAGATCTTGCTCCTTGAGTGGACTTCAGAATGAAGTTGGATTAGAAGATGAGAGGAAAGTGTTTCCTAGACTAGGATGGAAGCATCCAAGCAAGAAAACCAAGAAGAAAACTCATGGCCAAGCTAGGAGAGAAGATTTCCCTAATGCTAAGGCTTAGAACTTGGTGACTTTGGGAGAGAACTTAGCTGAAGTATATTCATAAAATTCTCATATATCATCAAAGTGAATTTACAAAGGTGAGGATCCACTTAAATAGGCAACGAATTAGGAGTCTTGGCGCCAAACTCAAGCTACACATTTTGGCGCCTAGATTTGAATTCAAATTTGAAATTTCTAGTGCACTAGGTTTGAAAATTTGTTTTGGATTCTTTTGTATTTTCCTTTCTTCTTTTTCTAAAGTTTTTTGATTAACTTTTCCTCTGTTTTTGTTCTGTTTTCAAGCAAGCGAATTTTTCCAGGAATTGAATCCAAATCAAACAATGCACTAGAAGTAGATATATCACTTAACAATCCAAGAATTGACGAATTCAAACTCAAATATGTAAGCAGAAAAGCACACAAGCAAAGCACATATGGAGAAAGTGAGTCTCAGCCAAGCTAAAAAAAATGACTCAAGGTTGTTTTAGCACAAGTTTACAAGCATACTTTGAATGTTTTAGACATTTTTCAAGAACTAAACATGACTTAGACAAACTTTGGTTCAAAAATTTAAAAGGATCACATGCATATGACTCAAAATGATCGAATCAAGGAATCAAAAATGAACAATGACTAAAGTAAAATAAGATTGGCATAAGTTGAATCCTAACACCTTGTTGATTGCGGATCTGAACAAATTGCAATCAAACACTTGGATCTATCAAGAATTGTTTTCAAAAAATATAGATCCACAAAGGAGACTTCAGATATGACAATTTGAACACACAAAATCCAGAATCCAATCGGTAGAAAATTCTACTTAACCTCAAGGAAGCTAGCCATGCTCTTGATACCAAAAATGATGGAGTTGGCAAGTGAAGTGAAGAATTGTGCTTCCTTTTCCTTCTCCAATGATCACGGATCTTGCTCCTTGAGTGGACTCCAGAATGAAGTTGGATTAGAAAATGAGAGGAAAGTGTTTCCTAGACTAGGATGGAAGCATCCAAGCAAGAAAACCAAGAAGAAAACTCACGACCAAGCTAGGAGAGAAGATTTCCCTAATGCTAAGGCATAGAACTTGGTGACTTTGGGAGAGAACTTGGCTGAAGTATATTCAGAAAATTCAAATATATCATCAAAGTGAATTTACAAAGGTGAGGATCCACTTAAATAGGCCACGAATTAAGAGTCATTGGCGCCAAACTCAAGCTAGACATTTTGGCGCCTAGATTTGAATTCAAATTCCAGCCCACATGTGCTTGGCCGTGAGTTTAGGTGCTCCTATGTATCTAGATTTAATTTAGATGGCATTTAGGGTTGATTTGAGTAAGCACATGTTCAACCACTTGTGGTGAAAAACATGTGACTCAAATGCAACTTAAATGACTTCCAAATTAAACCTAGTTTAACCTAATTCGTCCATTTAAGTGATCCTAGCATATTCCTATTCTAGTGGCCTAAATTCAATGGTCAATAAAATGCAATGGAAAGGAAAAATTACAAGAATGAAAATGAGCCCAATATTGGGTACTAAAAGCCCAAAGGCCCATGAAGCCCAAAACTAGGCCCAATAAGCCTAAAGCCCAATAAGTCCTATACTAAGATCCATGATACAAGACCAAACAATATAAAATCCTATACTACCAAAAATAAAAAGAAAGGTGGTAAATCATGTAAAGCCCAAGTGAAGAGAACCCTTGGCCCACCAAGCCCATTGAGCCAACTAAGCTCTGAAGCAGTCAAATCTTCAAGTAGTCTCCTTGCCATAGCTCTAGTGGTTGGACCTTTGGTCCATGCTCTTCCATCACCCCCTCCCTCTTGAGAAGGATTCTTCCTGAATCAAAAGACTCATCCTCATCATCACTAGCTCCTACAAAAGGTTTTAAATCACTGACATTAAAAGTAGAGCTAACACCATAATCAGAGGGTAGATCAAGCCTATAAGCGTTATCATTGATATGTTGTAAGACTTGAAAGGGTCCATCTCCCCGGGGACTGTCGCCACCGGCCCGAAACGGGCTTTCGGCATTCAGATTTTGTGAGGCATTGTAGTGTGAAGGGTTGCCACAAAGCACCTTTTTGAAGATCCAATAGAGCACATTCAAGAGGTATTTCAGTTAATTTCTTTCTCTATTTTTTATTTCTTATCTCTAATAAATATTGTTATAATAAAAATAATCATGTAGACATTTTAGGGTTAATTGTATAATTTAAATTTCAAGCATGTAAATAATTATTAATAAAAGGGAATTTAATATTTATATTATTATCATTTATAATGTTAACTTCATCATAGGGTACCAATTAAGGGCGTTGTACGGGTGCTTAATACCTACCCTACACGTAACCGCCCCCCGAACCCAATTCTGATTATCAAGACCATTATTGGACTTTTAAAAACCTTTTCTTTTTCCAATATTTTGAGTAAAACATTG